CGGCCAGCACCCCGACTCCTCGGCGCCAGCCCCTTTCAGCCTAAATTGAGAAGGCGACCGTTTGGGCGCGAAACGAAGCCCCAGACGCTTCCCTCACAGAACTGCGGAAATTCTCAGGAGCGCGGGCCCGCGGCACAAAACGAAACAAGTTTTTGTTTCACAGTTTGTTCGCGGACCTAATGAAGAAGCGAGAGGGCAAAATCCAGATCGGCATGTTGACGATTTTCGGAACGAACCTAGACGAAGGGGGTTCTAAGGCCTGAATGTACCCCTACTAAAGAGGGTTTCTATTATTTCTTCGCATCCACGCTGTGAACTACAGCGGTAACTCGAGCCTTCTGCTCAAGCAGCCTCTCACAAAACAGAGATCAGGCAGGTTGCAAGCCCCGCCTATTTGTGGGCCAGGCGCGAGCGCAGTAGTTATTACACTAAAGCGTCTCCGCCTTCCTTTCCTCCCCGTGGCAGCGATGGCCGAGTGGTTAAGGCGTTGGACTTGAAATCCAATGGGGTCTCCCCGCGCAGGTTCGAACCCTGCTCGCTGCGGAAGCCGGCGCTTCAGTTTTGGGTTTTCTCTCCTACCCGATTTTTAAAACAGACGTTCACTAGTGATTTTTTTCTTTCCTCTTTTCTCCCTCAAGTCATTATCCTCACTTTTTCTGTTGTATTTTTCGTATCTACCAGCAAAATGGTACGCGAGCCGAGTGATTTTCAACGCTAAAGAAAAGCCAATAAATGTCAGCACCGCAAAAAAAAAAAAAAAAAAAAAAGAAACTATTAATATCAAAGGGAAAAATCTTTGCCTGTCCTGAAAGGCAAAGTAACATCTTTAGTATTTTGATGTTTAATATGAAGAGTAAGTTCGTAAAATAGAAATAAAATTAATATAAATATTGACGGTACTTCTCGGGCTTTCACAGACTAAAGGAGCTATCGTTTCGCGGAAACGCGCAGACCTACGCTCTTTCCTTCCACCCCAGGATCATCTCCAGAGCTTCCCCCACCACAGCCAGAAATGATGTGAAATGAGAGAGAATTTTACATTTTAAAGTTTCACTCTTACAGCATGTTACATACATGCACATAACAGAACAATGTGCATGTTGCCATTAAAATTATGTTAATGAAGCCCTTCCCAGTACATTGCCCAGTGAAAAAATGAGGACAGATTAGAAAACAGTATATATTATGACCACATTTCCGTTAAAAAATTCACTTGTATATGTGGGAAGAATGGAAGAGAAAGAGAAAGTGATAGAAACAATTAATGGAACTTAGAAAAAAATACATCAAAATGTTAGCAGTGATTATCATGTCTGGGTGGTGGGATTTGGGGCACTTTTAATTTTCTTAATAGTTTTCTGTTTATCTGGGTTTTTACATTTTTCCGTATTGACTCATGTTTTAAATAAGAAAATTGCAAGATTAGTTTCTGAGGCCCTGAATATCCCCTTTTCTGTTCCCTTTCACCCACTTTCACTATACCTCCCCCCCAGACTTCCCAGGTGCTATTACAGAATTCCCTGACTCAAGTCTAGGAATAATTTTCTGTGGTACCTGGTGTGAATTTCACCACACTGTCTTATCTCTTTTGAGAATTTGCTGAATATACACACTCACCATCCTCTCTACCCAATCCCCACCACCTTTTGCTCTCATTCAAGTCACTTATAAGGAATGCATTAATTTCCTAGCAGGTTTCCTTGTCTGTACTGGTCAGGATCACATTCAACTACAAATAAGAAAACCCAATTCAAGTAGCTTAAACACAAGAATTTGTCTCAAGAATCCTAGGAAACAAATATTCCCGAACCCCAAAGACTGAAATGATATATAACCTCTCCTGTTTGTTTTAATTAAAACGTTTAAAATTTGTGACTCTATATTAACATGTTAATCCACAAAAGAGAGAGACCACAAGTTATAAAGTAAAACTTGTTGAAAGGGCAAGTATATATTGTATAATTAATTAACAACTCTCTTTTTTCAAAACAACTCTTTTTAAATGGTGTTCGGTATATTATCAAAGGTAGTTTCTGACAACTCATTTTTTTTTAATTAAAAATCATTACTTTAACCAGTGTGACAGTGTGTACAACAGAGAGAGAGGGAGAAGGCATCCCACTATGGGCGTAGTCATGTCACAATCCCTTCTCCTCCATCCCCTCAGGGCCTTCAGCATGCATGTGCACACACAAACATCTGGTGTGTGTTTTAAGCCACTGAGGCCACAGTAAGCCATGTGGGATCCAACTCCTTTAATCACTAAGCCAAAGGTCTGGCCCTAACTTCTTTTTTTTAAAGAAAAAAAAATTTTTTTTTGTTAAATCACATCTTACTGTTTCAAGAAATTATTTAAAAGAAAGAATAGTTTTTCAAATTAATCATAATTTAACACTATTAAAAAAAAAGAGAGAGAGAGAAGGAGAAAAGAAATAAGGGATTAGAAAATTCTCAGCTAGGAAAGGAAACAGAGCTCTTTCATCTTTCTGCTTTGTCATATTTAATGTGTAGGCCTTGTCCTTTTCTTACTGCTTCACAGTCCCAATATGATTCCTATACCTCCAGACCTCACATCCTCATTCAGCCAAGAAGGGGAGAGACGAAAACTCTCAAATTATGTCTCATTTACCCAGACTATATAAAGTCTGGCTACCACGGTGCTATAAGGAATAATGGGGAAATAAGTGCTTTTAAGTAAGTAGACTGCTAACCAAGTATAAACTGGAATTTCACTGATAAAAGAGAAGGCAGTGATACTGAGTGGGCAACCAGTTGCGTCCACCACACACATTATAATAGGAAAGCCAAACTTGTAGGCTTAGGAACTTAAAGACAAGTCCTCGCCTGCCTTCCCAGCTCTCCCTCTTTTCTTCCCCTTCTCCATCTGAGTTATTGGCAGGCCTCCCAGCACTGCATGCTGGCTGGTGCCTTTGGGCTTTTTTTACATGTTCACATGCTACTATCTGGAATATCTTTTCTTGACTTCACCCTTACGTCCTCATTAGGAGAAGAGGGCTGCCCAGCATTTGAAATTTCTTTCTATTTAGAGGATGTGCTTGCATTTTGAATCTAGGTGTGAAGCTACAATCTACCCCCTGTACCACCACTCCTGTCACAGAAGCTGAAAAAGTCACATACTTCATTCCCAGCCTTCTTTGCAGCTTGGAAGCAGCATGTGGCCTAGGCCCAGTCAATAAAATGTGCCCACCTCCTACTTTTAATCAGGAGCTATTAATACAAAAAGCAGGTAGGGTTGGGCCTCATCCTGGTGGGAGGCAGAGGCCACAGGGGCAGGCACAGGGATTGCTAAAGGCAGCAGGCCAGGGCTGCAGTTGAGGTTAACAGTTGTTTAGCAGTAGAACAGCAGTGTCTGAAGCAGACTGAGTTTTGTGGTGTCATTCTGCTGCGATCTTAGACTCCGCCTTGTCTCATTTACTCTTGCCCCATTTTCCATAAGTGGCTTTGCAGCCTTCCTGCCAATTCTTTGAGCTATTCAATATTCTTCCAGTAAGTACCTGCTGAAATCAGCAGTTTTCTTCCCTTTTCTTCTTTCTTTTCTTCCTTTCTTTTTTTTTTTCCTTGCCTTTCTTTTTTTTTCCCTCTTCTAAACATCAGATAAAACTTCCCTCCTTGCCCCACCATCATCTGCCAGGAAAGCTCATTCTTTCTTCTAGTGTCATCTGTGCACAAGCATTCCGTTCGGTATATTATCAAAGGTAGTTTCTGACAACTCATTTTTTTTTAATTAAAAATCATTACTTTAACCAGTGTGACAGTGTGTACAACAGAGAGAGAGGGAGAAGGCATCCCACTATGGGCGTAGTCATGTCACAATCCCTTCTCCTCCATCCCCTCAGGGCCTTCAGCATGCATGTGCACACACAAACATCTGGTGTGTGTTTTAAGCCACTGAGGCCACAGTAAGCCATGTGGGATCCAACTCCTTTAATCACTAAGCCAAAGGTCTGGCCCTAACTTCTTTTTTTTAAAGAAAAAAAAATTTTTTTTTGTTAAATCACATCTTACTGTTTCAAGAAATTATTTAAAAGAAAGAATAGTTTTTCAAATTAATCATAATTTAACACTATTAAAAAAAAAGAGAGAGAGAGAAGGAGAAAAGAAATAAGGGATTAGAAAATTCTCAGCTAGGAAAGGAAACAGAGCTCTTTCATCTTTCTGCTTTGTCATATTTAATGTGTAGGCCTTGTCCTTTTCTTACTGCTTCACAGTCCCAATATGATTCCTATACCTCCAGACCTCACATCCTCATTCAGCCAAGAAGGGGAGAGACGAAAACTCTCAAATTATGTCTCATTTACCCAGACTATATAAAGTCTGGCTACCACGGTGCTATAAGGAATAATGGGGAAATAAGTGCTTTTAAGTAAGTAGACTGCTAACCAAGTATAAACTGGAATTTCACTGATAAAAGAGAAGGCAGTGATACTGAGTGGGCAACCAGTTGCGTCCACCACACACATTATAATAGGAAAGCCAAACTTGTAGGCTTAGGAACTTAAAGACAAGTCCTCGCCTGCCTTCCCAGCTCTCCCTCTTTTCTTCCCCTTCTCCATCTGAGTTATTGGCAGGCCTCCCAGCACTGCATGCTGGCTGGTGCCTTTGGGCTTTTTTTACATGTTCACATGCTACTATCTGGAATATCTTTTCTTGACTTCACCCTTACGTCCTCATTAGGAGAAGAGGGCTGCCCAGCATTTGAAATTTCTTTCTATTTAGAGGATGTGCTTGCATTTTGAATCTAGGTGTGAAGCTACAATCTACCCCCTGTACCACCACTCCTGTCACAGAAGCTGAAAAAGTCACATAC